CGTGCCTGGCGTGAGTTTAAGCCACTGGGTCCAGGACTTGAACCATGGTTGACCACATGGTAGTCAAACGACACAGCCATTGTGCCAACTGCTGGTCCCAATACCTGCTATTTTAAAAAAGAATTATTTATTTAACTTAATTAATTAATTAATTAAGACCACAGAGAGACAAAGCATGAGAGAAGGAAAGTGAGAAAGCAAATCAACAGGTCCGGGACTCAAACCATGGTTGTCCATGTGGGAATCCAGTGCTCTTAATCACCATGCCACCTGCTGGCACCATTTAACTGCTATTTTTTTTTTTTTACCCTTTTCCCCCAGGATTCAACTGAAAATTTAAAAATATATATATTTATTTAATTCCATTTGTTGTTATTATTTTGATTTGACTAGAAACAGAGAGAGAGAAAAAAAAAAAAGGGAAAGGGAGAAAGCAAGCCTCCATGTTCAGGACTCAAACTGTGGTTGGCCACATGGGACCCCAGGGCCTTTATCCACCACACCACCTGCTAGCCCCCCACTGAAATTTTTTTTCCAAGGGTCAGCATAACATTACAAACAAATTTTTCATCCTTTTCTATAGAGGTTGACACAGATTAAATTACATTTAATTGTCTACCATGTGCTTCCATAGATGCACACGCACGCGCGCGCACACACACACACACACACACACACACACACACAGTGCACTCATAGCTCACATGAGCTCAGAAAAGCCCTTGGAAATAGGTGGTATTAATTCTGTTTTACAGATGAGGAAACAAGCTTAGAGTAGCTTGCCGGCAATCACACAAGGAACCCAATAGGGTCTAAGTATTTGTCTTATTAATGGTGGTCCTGGAAACCTCTTCTATGGGCTCCTACAATAGTTCTTGTATTACTTAACAAAAATAAAATAAAGACTACTTTTTCATGTCATTGGAAGTAGATTCAAACTTCACTACAGTGGACTTGAAACAAGGTGAAAATCATTACTATAAATGCAGGCATACTCACTGGCCATGTATTCATACCAACTTTCTAGAAGCATACAAAACGGGCTACTCCGAGGGTATGAGAGCGGATGTGCTCAATTAATTAAAATTTCCAGAGCAATCATTATCACTAACTTAGAGGAAACAGCCAAGCAAATATTGTTTCATAGCAATTGGCAGATTTTAATATTCAAGAAAAGTTAAGTCCATCATACACATTAAAAATATAATAGGAAATTTCATGCAGACATGAATCTTCCAGCCTTTGTGGCAACTTTAAGAATGAGAGTTACATATAAATACAGTACATTTTACAGTCCCCAAACTTCATAATTGTACACTGTGATTTATACAGCTATTCTTTATATTTTACATGTCCCACCTTGCTCACTTGATTAAGATACCCTAGATCTGCATCACTTCAGAATATAGAAATCGAAAAAAAAAGCAAGCACAATGACCTATCTCCTGTCACTTTATGAAAATGAATGAAAACATTTGTGTATAACACTAATTTAAGGAAAAAAATTAAAATTTTAAGGCTTACATACTTTAGTAGCTAGGACTAAACAAAAGAAAAACAAAGTTAAATAAATCCTCCAGTGATACTTCTATATTGATTGATATTCCACATTTTCAAGTTTAATAAATTAACTGAAAAAGTCATAAAAAAAGTGATGCACATTTGTGTAGAACATTTAAAAAATATCCATGATGTAAGGGAAAAACTAAAAACGAATGAACTAACTGATTTCATAATTAACTACAATGTATACTATAATTTAAAAACATGAGTAACATTATTAAAGAATGAAACCTGATAGCAAAAGCAAATTTTAAGTACCAAAGCCAACTCACCAGCACTGTTGTCTCTGAATAGGAAAAAAAAAAGTCATTTGCTTGTAATGAAGTTGTACAAAAATGAATATTAGTCAGAGAATAAAAAGCATTTCTAATACTCAAAAACAACATGCATTGCTTTCTGTTCAACTGATTTTTAAAAATACTGATACTCCTTTTATGTTTTGTTATTTTTTTCCCTTAAAAATTTTCTTGGGGGTAGGGTAGGGTGGTTTCCTCTTGCAATTAATTTCAAGTTCATTCATATAGGTAATGAGAGTCCCACAAGATGAGTATCTGCTAAGTCTTGTGGAACACAAAAAAGAAATAGCTGTGTTTCTTTTAACTCAACAGCTTAGGAGTTTACCAAACTGGACAAGTCGAATGAGCTCCATGGTGTCCTCTACTGCACAGAGTAAAGGTCACAAGGGCTCCTCATTGTGTTTAGAAAAGGTCCCTTCACCACCATGCCAAAATGGGTAGTGACTCCCCCAGCCTAAGTGACAACAAAGGGCTAAAGATTTACAAGTAAGTTTACTATTAAAATGTGCTGCCTACATATTTCTGAGATTAAATTCACGTAATCAAAATGGCCACAGAGGTCATTTAAAGTAATAATAATCAGCTGTGAAAAAATTCAACAGATGTTCCTCCTTTTCTCCAAGAAAAGGTTAAAACATTAGTCACTTCTACTTTCCAAGCTACTGGAAACAGAATAATATCCATAAAAAATACAGAGGAAAACTCCCTCCAATAAAGGTCAGCTAGAGGTAGAAATTTAAAGCAGCGTGTACTGATTAAGCTCCATCTATCAGGGAACAAAACTACTGTTAATCGGAAATTACATTAATGGCTGCTGCTTACAATATTGAAGACACAGACCACTGGCAGTAATTTATCCCTGAATTTCGTATCCAAAATGTCCCACATTAATACCATTATGACAGTTTTTATTAGTATGTATTTGTTTTAATGAGAAAAAAAGTGCTTGCTTTCATAATTCAGATAATCTAAAGAAAAGACATTATTGTAAACATCGCACTGAGTAACTATATTTGTTTAAAGTTTGAAATCATACATTTCTAATGGACAAATCTGATTATTTTCCATTTCCTAGCATTACGTTTAATAAAGGCTTTTGTGCCTCCCTTAGAATGCTGAGATCTCATAATTTCAAAGTGATCCATGATGAATATCCTTTCGTAAAGTGTTCAGTTTAGTGTTGCCCAAAGACATTAATTTCTCAGTTACCTGAATGATCTGAATGGCCCTAATACTATTAAATTTAGAATTTCATAAAAATGAAATGTTTTATGCTTCTTTAAGTTTGGCTGAGCTAGGGCAAAAAAATAATAAAATAATTTGAATGATAAAAAGACAGAAACATTTATGTATAGATTGCGTAGGTCTAAAAGTGAATAGAAATCCCAATTCCAGATGTTGAATGTGACAGAGGATCCTTAGACTCTTGAAAAATATTATGTGCAATGCATACAAAATAACAGAAAAGGACATTATTATGGACTTCAATACTATTAGTCGTTAACATGGCAGACTTGCAACGGACAGCTTCATGAAGACACTGGAGATTAGGGTTTTTCTTCTGAAAGACAATTCTCAGCTTCAAGCAAAAGTATATTTGAAGACATTTCCTCCATTTTTACTTGTTTAGTACAAATCTGCATGGCATAGTATATTTCTGAAAAAGCAATAGACATTAAGAAAATAGACACTATTTCTAAATTTGTTAGGAATAAGAAGGCACCACTGATTTGAGGTTATGTCCTGTCATCACTGATAGTTGACTTTGAGTTGTTTATTTCAGCAATTGCTCTTATTAAACTTTTTTCCTGGGTGATGTCACTTGAGATTGTTATTGTGGTTTACGGACCACAAACAAGACACATTCATAATAGTATTTCATCATAGAGAGATCATTCACAGTATACGTTGACAAGACAGATTCCTTTTCCACCTGCAATGCAAACAATAATCACCTTAATGATAATAATCATAGCACAGCTAACAAATATGAGCACCTATTAGTGGCAGGTGCTGTTTTAAACTTACACATTCTTTACACACAACTACCTCATAAGACTGGTACTACCAGTGACCCTACTCTATAACAGATCATGTAAGTTGCTCAAGCTCACTAAGCAGAGGAAATGGGTTTGAATAGTGCTGTCACTAAACCACTGTAACATGTGGATTCTCTTTACTCTTGAGAACAAATCTGTAGTTCACCTTTAAAATGAATGGAATGTTTCTTAATAAATAAAACAGCCAAAATACATTAAAAAAAAAACTTATAACTCACATGATAAAAAAAAATGTTGGGAGTCCAAAAGGGCATACAGTGAATGGTATTTCTCATATATCTGTGTGCTCAAACTCTCCTGCTTCCCCAGGGTCTCATTTATTTGGTATTTATCAGTGAATGCCTACAAAGGCCAATATGTATGTTTGTTTATTTATTTATTTATTTGAGAGATTTTTCCTATATGGTGTGTGGGCTCATTGGAGAGACACAGAGACAGAAAGCAAGAAATCATCCCCTCAAGGGGGATGGCCATACCACAATCCCTTCTCCTCCATTTTCCTCTTGAGATTTTGGGCAGGCACACACACGCTCAGCAGGTTTCAAGCCTCCGGGTCCAGGACGCAAACTGCGGTCAGCCATGTGGGAGTCTAGCGATGTAACCACTATGCCATCTAATGGTCCCAGGCTAACATGATTATAATCAGTCGCTATTTATTGAAGCATTGTTTCACCAGGGATTGTAGCTTTCACTTTACATACACATTACCATTATCCCAAATCCATGTAATTCTGAAGGCGAATAATAGCATCTTTACTTTATGGTGGGAAAATAGGTTAAGAAGTTCTAACTGTCATAAGATAGACTTTCCTGTTTAAGAGTTTTAGAATATTTAAACCCTTACCTCTACCTGGAATCCATACTGCAAAACGACATTTTTTATATCCTCATAGCTCAGCTCTATGGAAAGTTCATTTGCCAAATTTTCAAAGTGGTACAAGAGAGGACCTGGTTTAATAAAGATCATACAAATTAAGTACTTGCATACAAATATGTACTAGTAGCTGTGTTAGACTGAATGTTAAGTTGAATAATAAGCTGGGTGGTGGATGAAACAAACACAAAGAGAAGTAAAGAATATGCACATTTGCAGAGGACCCTTACCTAGACTCTGAGACTCTGGCCCAATAACAGACATCTAGGACAACCTGAATGCATAGGGATTGAGTCTCTCTGGCACACCTGACGTGCATGGTAATTCTCCACATCATGGCCCTTTACCTGTAACTCTGCAGTTACTGGCTGAATCAGAAATGCTAAGTCTCCAAATTCCAAACATTCACTGTAACTGTAATTCCTAAGTTAATGCAAAATTGCAGTTGTAAACTGGGTATCATGAGAAAGCAGAGAAGGGGCCTTAAGCTGGCTAGGAAGCAGAAGCATTGTGGAGAAGTTACAGAGAAGCCTTCTTGGAAGGAGGAGGTGACCCTAGAGCTGGCTTCTGAAGTGTACTGTTCACACTGCAGCTCTAACACCTACTAACTGTGTGTTTATAGGCAAGTCATCTAATTGCTTCACCTGGAACTTGACCTTACTCAGATAATATGTAATATGCCTGTCATAAATAGGGCAGTTAGGACACAACAGCTATTATAGCTATTTTTATCACATTCCCCCTTTACTGTTCTCTTGTTCCACACATTCAGGGAACTAATGCCTGAGTCAAGCCAGAAGTTTCCAGTCTTTTTGGTTTTTTGTTGTTGTTGTCCTTTTCCCCCCATATTTTACTGATTAAGAAAATATCTTAATTAAGCTAAATATTTTCAATAGCAAGCACAGCTAAAATATACATATCCATGAACACAAGTCTGACTTTAGCCATAAACCTCAGTGAACAGAATGAACATAGTATAAAACAGCACCTAGCTGGGGCTATACAGCTTACTGCAGTCATCAAATAGGTATTTTTAATGCCTATTTTTAATTTCAAGAAAAACAGTTTTAGTTTTTCTGAAACATTTTTTTAACTTTATTAATTTATATTCATTCCCTAAGCATCGTCACAGCATACAAAATGTGATTTCCCATCCAGAATATACTGCATAGTGGCTTAATCATACATGCTATCATCAATAATTTTCTATTTCTAGATTCATGTGTGTGTGTGTGTGTGTGTGTGTGTGTGTGTGTGTGTGTGTATATATATATA